TTAGGGTTTGAGGGTTTTAGCCTTTTAAGTGAGATGTGGGTTAAGGGTTGAGGGTTTTAACCTTTAAGTGAGATAGAATAGGAAAGGTTGTTCCTAAAGAGAGGTTTAGGAAGGGAGAGATTGAGAGATATTTTTAAGTAGGGAGAGATGAATAAGAGAGATGAAAATTACTGGAGAAAAAAAGTTTTTCCTAAAGAGATATAAGGAGGGAGATACGAGTGACAAATGAGAGAGCTTATAGGGGATATTTAATGAAGGCGTTATGACTTAGAGAGCTATTAATTACATGTTATATAGTTGGAGAGAAAAAGGTAGGAAGGAGAGAGAGAAACATGAGAGGTGGAGAGACATGAATGACTTGTTACATAGTAGGAGAAAGAAATGTGAGAGGTAGTTAGTAAATTAAATAGATAGGGGAGAGAAAATTGGGAGGTAGAGAGAGTAAGTTAAATAGAAAGAAAGAGATAGAGAGACATAATATTAAAAAGTGAGTTACATAAAAACTAAAGAAGTAGTTATTTATATTTACATATTTTTATGCATATAGGAGGAAAATAGTTATATAAAAATATTACATTAAGAAAAAATGCCTATATTTATGTCTACATTAAAAAGGAACTGCTTATATTTATAGCCTTTTATGCATGTAGGAGGAAGAGAGAGTAAACGTGGGAGGGAGATGGGGAAAAGAATAAATTGTAAAAAAGTAAAGAAATAGTTAATACAGAGAGGGGAGAAATGAGAGAGATTAATATAGAGGGGGAGAAAAGAAAGAGATTACTATGGGGAGCATATGGATAATTAAAAGAAGGGAAAGGATGAGATGCAATGACATGTATAGGTATGAAAAATATGTGGGGAAGAGAGTGCATGAGATGATATGTATGGGCATAAAAGAGGTGTGGAGAATAAAGAGATATTAATGTGACCGAATAACGTGGCGAATGATTAAACGGAGTAGTCCTCTCACTTAATATATAATAAATAGATAAAATGATAGATAGATTGTTGGTACAATGATGAAGGCACCCTAATTAATTCAATGCAATTGGTTCTTGTACCGCTTTTAAAAAAAGAGAAATCCTCCATTAACCTTTATTAATTAATAATGTGCATGCCGTAATTCAAGCCAACATAAGTAACTAACTTTACGGTCTTGATGGATATCACTTTCATATTATATTAATTTTGAAAATTGAAAAATGTAATTTGAAAATTTTGTTCCAAATTCAATGCATAGAAAATATATTTCAAAATTGAAAATGATTCTGAAAATGGAAAATATCATATGAAAATTTTGTCCCTTTTTAGTGCAGCGAGAGTATATTTCAAATTTGAAAAAAATAATGTTGCTACAATGTAAACTTATTTACCATGAGTCTCTCCTCTCTCTCTCTTAATATTTTTATAAATTACTCTCGTCAAAAGATTTCCTACACCAGCAGGAAGATACTATCTATTTACTGCCTCAGGGATAACACACTCCAGAAATTCTTTTTAGAACTCAAATTTTTGGGAATATAATATCTACGGTTCATCATTAATTTCAGTAAAAATAAATAAAATAAAACTCTCTACCTGCTAGAAAAAAAAAAAATTCAAAATTGAATATCGACTGTCCAAATTTTTAAGAGCTAGATCAAAATGTCATAAAACACAAAATTCAAATTATTTCATTTGAACATAACCATTTAATAATTCTCAGGTGGTTCTTAAAAATTTTAGACTAAAATAATCTTTCTATATTAGTGCTTTACGCGAGGGGGTAGTTGCACAGTTCGATCCCGCAAAAGCATAGCTTAGGCTCCTGAAAAAAAAAAAATACTCAGAAACTCCTCCTCTCTCTCTAAAATCGTCAGAGTATGAAACGATCTGACCGCACCTGCATTAACACACACGACAACGGAACATCAACACAAAGCCACCCCGGCCATCCCGTTACCATTGAAAAAGATAAGAACGTTCCTTCCGCCTCTGTCCCACCGTCATTTTCTCCCTCTAAGAAATCACTATTTTCGTTTCTCTCTCTAGAGGTAGACCCAGTATTTCTCCACCGCTCTTAAAAAGGCATTTTCTCTCTCTAAAAGGTCATTCTCTCTCTCTGCCCAAATAAACAGGGACACCCACTTCCCATGCTGCTCATCTAAATGTGCACAAGCGATATGTGGGCTTTTCTCTATCCAGGGGTTCTGGACCGATGCGGAAGGTGAGGAGGAAGAAAGAGAGAGAAAAGCTGCAGAGGAACTATGGCGGAATTCTTCTTCACCATTTGTGGCCTTATTTTCATGGGTTTTCCTCTCATAATCAATTCAGTTACAGACCCAGCAGATGTTGCCATTCTGAACGATTTTAGAAAGGGCCTTTTGAACCCTGAGCTTTTGAAATGGCCCTCTGATGACGGTGATCCATGTGGACCTCCTTCATGGCCTCATGTCTTTTGCTCCAATTCCAGGGTTACACAAATTCAGGTCCAGAACGTTGGGCTTCAAGGTCCATTGCCCAAAAACTTCAACAAGCTCTCAAAGCTCAAAAGTCTAGGGTTACAGAGAAATGGGTTCACCGGTCCATTGCCCACTTTCAGTGGGTTGTCAGATTTACAGTATGCTTATCTTGGGGGAAACCAATTTGATTCAATACCTTCAGATTTCTTCAATGGCCTCACAAATTTGCAGGTTCTCTCTCTAGAACACAACCCACTTAACAAAACCGAAGGTTGGGTTCTCCCTCTAGATTTGCAGGATTCAGGGCAGATAAAAAACCTTTCTCTCACTAACTGCAGTCTCAAAGGACCCATCCCTGAAGTATTAGCGTCTTTACCCTCCCTCTCTGTCCTCGAATTGGCCTATAATCGGTTGTCGGGTGAGATTCCTGACAAATTTTCTCAAGCCCCACTTCAAATCCTACAGTTAAATAACCAAGACCCACCTGGTTTATCGGGCACTATTGATATTTTATCCACTATGACTGATCTACAGCGAGCATGGCTCCATGGAAACCAGTTCTCTGGTGTGATTCCTTCCGATCTATCGAATTGTGCCTCTCTTAGTGAAGTAAGGCTCAATAACAACCAGTTTGTTGGGCCTATACCTGAAACCCTATCCACCTTGCCTCTCCATATCTTGAGTCTTGACAATAACAAGCTAACTGGTCCAATCCCTGTTATGAAAATGGATTCAGGTAACTATACTTATGCATTCAACTCCTTTTGTCAATCTGACCCTGGAAAACCATGTGCACCTGAAGTTGCAGCTCTTCTTGGGTTCCTCGCTGGTCTCAATTACCCTCTAAATTTAGCATCTGATTGGTCTGGAAATAATGCATGTAATAACTGGTTGGGTATTACATGTGATAATCAGTTACATGTTTCTATTATCAATCTTCCCCATAAAAATCTGAATGGAACTCTGAGCTCTTTACTTGGTGAACTCAATTCTTTATCGAAAATCATCCTGTCTGTTAACAATTTACATGGTGTGATCCCTCCTAATCTCACCCAACTGAAATCTCTCCAACTTCTAGACTTGAGCTCAAATAATTTGGAACCTCCTTTACCAAATTTTACAACCACCACAAAGGTTTTGATAGATAATAATCCTCTGTTTAAAAAAAACCCCGATACTCCCATACCAGAATCGAGCCCACCTCCCAGCCCTAGCTCACCATATTCTCCTCACAGCCCTAGCTCATCAGATTCTCCTCCAAATCCTAGCTCACCTCCCAATCCTAGCTCGCCAGATTCTCCAAGTTCCGGACAAAATGGCTCCAATTCGCCAAAAAATTTCACTGTACAAATCGCCAAACCCTCAGGTAATAAGGCACTCATCATCGGGACACCAATATTGGGCGTTGGCATTTTAGCCGTTGCCATTATTGTTTTTGTGGTTTGCAAAAGAAAGAAGAAAGTGGGTTCAATCGACAGAGCCTCTGGCTCAGTGGTGGTGCACCCTCGAGACCCATTAGATCCAGATCAGGTACTTAAGATTTCAGTGGCTCGGAACAACCAAGTCGGTAGTTCACAAAGTAGCCACAGTAGCTTAGGACCTCAAACCATTGAAACCCAAGTTATAGAAGCTGGAAATATTACTATTTCTGTTCAAATTTTGAGAGACGTGACCAAGAATTTTGCACCTGAGAATGAACTTGGAAAAGGTGGGTTTGGAACAGTGTACAAAGGAGAATTTGAAGATGGCACCAAAATTGCAGTGAAGAGAATGGATTCGGGGACCATTAGTAGCACTGGGCTCAATGAATTTCAAGCAGAGATTGGTGTTTTATCAAAAGTAAGGCACAGGCATTTGGTTTCATTGTTGGGTTATTGTGTTGAAGGCAGTGAGAAACTTTTGGTATACGAATTCATGTCACAAGGTGCATTGAGTAGGCATATTTTTGACCATGAGAAGATGGGGTTGCCTCCTTTGAGTTGGAAACAGAGGTTGAATATAGGGTTAGATGTGGCACGAGGAATGGAGTATTTGCATGGTTTGGCTCATAAGAGTTTTATTCACAGAGATTTGAAGTCGGCCAATATTTTGTTGGGTGATGATTTTAGGGCCAAGGTTTCTGATTTTGGGTTGGTGAAGCTCGCACCAGGTGATGGGATGCATACATGCGTTACCAAGTTGGCAGGGACCTTCGGCTACTTAGCGCCGGAGTATGTTTGTAAGTCTCTCTCATTTGTTTTGCTCTGGCTTCTCTCTGCTCTTTTTCTGGTTTATTTGACTATGTTTATGTGCTTTTTAACCTGTTTGATCGGGGAGAACTAGAGGATCTCGACTGTTGTCTGTTTCCCTCCTCCCTCTGTGAAAATTAGGCTCTCCTCTGCGTAAATTAGGTATAGAGATTGGGGTGGCATGTTAGGTCCTATTTGATGAACGTAAGGTTTTTAAAGAGAAATTTGGCAGAAGTATTCCACTCTGTTCATTTTGATTTTATTGGGTATGTTGCACACTTAGTCCCTTCTCTCTCCCTCTCTTATATGTGCTGTTTGGACATAGGAAGTGTGGCTTTTAAATATAGAATTAGAGGATGTATGTCTCTATTTGAGTTAGTGAGTTAGTTGCGTATGTTTTTTTGCCCTAGACCCCTTCTCTCACTCTTCCATTGTGGGCCATTATCTGCAAAATAGGCAGGGAAATGAGTTTTAATAGGGAATTTAAGTATCCCTTCCCCTGTGTTGTATGTGATTGCTTTGAATTAGAGTATTAGACAGAGGAAATGGGGAAAATTAGAGGTAGCCATCTCGCAGCAACTTGGGAAGGGTTGGGTGATTAGGAAATGTAGGAGTCATTTAGAGAAGGTGAGTTGTTTTATTTTTATGGGGTCGAATTTTAGGTTCACAGTATTTTGAGCAGAGTTTTTAGGATGATTTGAATATTTATCTTGCTGTCTCGGAGGTGCACTTTACAGAGATGTGATTTTCTAGGGATGGCATTCCTTGGGGGCTTACAAATCATTTTTATTGTACAGAGATTTCAAACGACTTCTGGGCAATTTGTAATTATAAATTCTTCTAAAGTTTCTCTAAGAATTTTATTAGAGTTTTAGCAAAGATATGATTTCTAAAGAAGTATTTCTTGGGGAATTACAAAGCAGTGGTGGAAGTGATCTTTTGCAGCTTGTCCCCAATTAACCATTGTTGTTATTCTGGAGAGAGAATTATCACCATACTACCTCCCAATTCCCCTGTACTAAAATAACTCCAGTCTCTTAATCTCATGTGTTTCATATTGTCATATTCAAATCACTAAACAGACCCACTGCACTCATTTTTAGAGAGAATCATTTAACCCTGACCTCTTTCTGTCTACAACAATGTCAATGTAATAGATATACTCTCTCTAGTCTCCACAGCTGCAAGGGCAATCAAATAAGAAAAACCGTCAAATCTATTCTTTATCTACATTTTTCTCTCTACCGTACAAGTAACTATCCCCTCTCTGTATTCTTTCTCTACAGCGATGGGGCGCATCACTACCAAATCCGATGTCTTCAGCTATGGCGTCGTGCTCATGGAGCTGGTCACAGGGAAGAAGGCCCTTGACGATTCTCGTGAGGGGGAGGACATCCATCTCCCAGTGTGGTTCCGCCGCCGGGCCTCGGATCTCCCCTCCATCCTCGACCCCACTCTGCCTCGCGATCCCAGCACCCTCGAGAGTGCCGCTGTTGTTGTGGAGCTGGCTGGCCATTGCACGGCCACTGAGCCTCGCCAGAGGCCCAACATGGGTTACGTGGTGGGGGTCTTGGTTTCGCTGGTTGATAAGTGGAAGCCCATTGCAGGAGGAGGTGATGAGTCCCCAACCAAGGGAGGGATCGATCTGAGCATGAGTCTGTTGGAGTGTGTAGAGAGGTGGAGAGAGGTGGATAGTAACAATAACAAGAATCGGGGGTGGTCGGATTATTACGGGGAGGGAAGAGGTGTGGCTTCGGAGGATAGCAAAGGGAGTATTCCCGAGGGGCCCAACGTGTTTGCTGAGTCGTTCAATTCTAGTGATGCACGGTGATGACGAGTGGTCCGACTCTCTGCCTGCCTGTTCAGGTGCAATTTGTAAACCTTCCTCTCTCTCGTGTACATCTCTCTCTACAATATGAACTCAGTACGGTCATTCTACAGTATCAACTCAGTACGGTCATTATTGAGGGAAGCTTGTTATAACACTAAGGGCACATTTGGTTCCTTCAAATATTTTTATTTGAAAAAGTTTATGAGATCAATTGGTGTGCGAACGTTTTCACATGTGCAAATATTTTCAAGATGTGCAAATATTTTCACATTATTTAGCTTTAAATTGATATAAAAGGATGTTATTCTTTTTTAAAAAAAGGTTTGGGGTGCAAAGATGTATTGGACCCGTTGATATTCTGAAATCTACCGGGGGAATTCTTTGTTTTGTTTTGTTTTGAAACAAACTTGCCGATTTCCATTTTTTCCGTTTGGTGCCGATGCCGAAATCTCATTACCTCTTTGATTTAAAATTTTCTGATGCCGAAATCCCATCATCTCTCTGTATCAGGATTTAAAATTTTGTTGAGAATCACTAATTTGGTTTTGAAAAGGGTATTGTTTCCTTCAATCTAAATATCAATGTCTCAGCCTCTTATTCTTATTTTCCACGATAAATTTTTTCTCTAAATCAAAATCAACATGTGTTTTGTCCAACGCTTTCTTTGTACTCTTCGAAAATGCCAAGAAAGACAATGTGTCTCTCTGTTCTCCTCTCCCTTCCATACAAGTCCCTAGTTTTCTTTTTTTAAAGGAACTTGTTTCTCCAAATTCTTTCTTCTATATCTTGGCCCTAAAATGTCAAGGCCCGGCCTGGCTTGGGGCCTGGGTTATCCGTCTACTTCGGCTTGGCCCAGCACTCTCTTATTTCTAGTGTCTAGTGTTTTGTTTATTTATTTTTGACCTGCTGGGCATATGGTCATATGAGAACTAGCGCTGGCGCGGACACGGGCCCGGGCGGTTGGCACTCTTTAAACTTATTGGCGTGAAGATGACCCGGTTAGATTGGAACCGGCTAGTGATCGATTTTGCTTTTGGACGGTTTTGGTGATCGATCGGTATTTAAAAAATATATATAAATTCTCAAAAATAAAAAAGTTAGTTTGTAATGTATTTATAACAATTGTTTTTGTCATCAATACTCACTTTAATTAAAAAATCGATTTTAAAATCCATTTTTTTTATTAATTTTTAATTTTATTTGAATGTGTTTTGTTGTAATTATTTTTTATATGTTTTTCATAGGTATATTGTTTTTTATTTTTTTTTTATCTTTTTTAGTTTTTCAATATTTTTTTTGACCTTCTCGGATTTGTCCATAGGAAGGTTTACCGGTTAAACAGCTTTGGGGCCGATTGTACAGTAACCCGTTCCAATTTTGCGGACACCGACAAATGATGTTATTATCGTTTTCAGGGTCTGCGATACAACCAAAGTGCGAAGCAGGAGGGATGTCCCTTTCCGCGATTTCATTTGCCCCCGATCAAAAGTTTTGCCGAAATTGCGAGGGCAAAATCGTCATGACAAATAAACGCAACGCATTCACTGCTTGCCCTACTCAGGCTGAGACTGCAATTTCCAGCTTGCTTTTGTTCGAACTTCTGTCTCCCTCATTCCTCCTTCTCAAGCTTTCCTTTGTGTATAGGTAGGGCAAAGTTTGTGTACATTGCTTTATTTATTTGGCCACATATTCCTTGTTTTGTTTCCATGAAGTTGAAAAATCATGGTAAATATCCATCCGTCTCCGATATATTATATATGCGATTCTCTACAAAGAGACCACTAATCTATGGTATATGGAGCTTATCATCATTCTTGTCTTTTAAATTTTAAAATGGGTGATTGTAAGAATTGCCATTGAATAGATAGTTCGACAAAAAAAAAAGATTTCTCCACCTAACTCACTTCAAAGCATCCGATTTGACATCTAATAAGTGAATGATTTTGAATTTTATATAAAAAAAACAATTAATAGTCTCTTTGTAAACAATCGCATTATGTATATGCGGATGAGCTTTCGATAAGGCCCAAGTTTTATAAAACTAAAATAAAGCCTCATTTCAAATATTAGTCGGGAAGTACTTTTGGTGATGAAAATTTATATAATGGATCTAAAATCAATTTTTAACATTGACAATAAAAATTTGAAATTTAAAAAAGGGTACGATTTGTATAGAGCTTAGGCTCTAAACAATCAAATTAAAGCCTACTTTTAAATAGTGTCGAGAAATGTAGTTTCAATATCGGAACATTTGGGATAGCTTTAAAATATATGTTTGTATTTATTTATAAAGTTTAAAGCTTCAAAAATGGTATAGATTGAGATATCTATAAAAACTTGAGAATCTCGAAAATTGATGGTCCAAAAATACATTACGAAATATATTATTTTTAGAACTTGCATTTTATTTTTTTCTCATGTCCATATATATTAATGTTTAGATGATCAATTTGAAGATATTTGGGCATCAAAACAATCTCTTCTAATGCAATTTTTGAAGTAGGTTCAAATTTGATTGTGTAGATCCTTGGTTCTATATAAACTTTTTTCTTTAAAAAACTGGTATAGATCTTATGGATTGATGAGTACTTATTTTTAAAGCAATAATCAAGATAATTTATTATAGGGCACGATTTACATGCAGACAGAATGTGGGCTTGGTAATAAATATATTTTTTAAATCTAATTTGACATTAAATTTTAGAGAATGTATAAGATTTAACATGAAGTTCTTGAATACGAAAACAATATTGAAAACTAAAAATAATAATTATATTAAAAAAAATTGAAAATTTAGTTGTAATTGTTTTTGGATGGATCACCCATTTGCCTCCATCTTTTAAGATGTATACTTTATACCTCTGATTTGCATATTATAGAAATATCGTCCAGCCTACATGAAACAATTTATTATTATTATAATGTACACTATTTTTTAGAGATTAAACGTGTATTTTTTTTTTTTTTTCACCATCATAATATTGAGGATTTTCTAAAGCTTGCCTTGTATCTATGAGGTGACGATTTCAACCCTATCAAACTGTGAATAGGGAATTTTCTTAAGATTTGCGTGATTTCCGGGAACAAGTATCGCACCTATCTTGGATTTACAGCTTTTTTTATGAGTTTTCCGTAAATTATGCCACTTGCCTGGTGTGTACGACTTAGCACGTCAGCAGGTGATATAAATTTCACGGTGTAAAAACACGCGTGGGTCCTACCTGACTTTATTCTATAAAACGCCGACCAATGAAAGAGGTCGTACTGGGGCTCACGTTTGACACTTGTTTACGTGGGCCCCAAGTTTTAGGACAGCTGGTAGTGCCTAGTCTACTTTTTTTTTTTTGTTGCTTTCCGCGTTCGCTGAACGCAACAGAAAAGGATGCGCGAATAAATATATGAGGCGACAAGCGCGTGCTTGGTATGGAGCCTTAAAGACGCACTTTTAGGTTTGGTGCGGTTTGTATAGATCCGAACCTCAAAACAATCAAAGTAAATCGCATTTTTTTTTTAAATTTTTTGATAGCCTTAAAAATATTTTTTAATATTTAATTATAAAATTTAAAGTTTTAAAAATATCGATCAAACATAACTATGAAAATTGAAAATCTTAAAAATTAATGGTAAAAAAATAGTTATAAAATGCACTATTTAATAAACTTGAAATCCATTATTTTTTCATTTGAATGCATCTGGATGCGTAGATGATCAATTGGAGGGTATTTGGGTACCAAAACAACCTCTTTTAGTGAATTTTTTGAGGTTTGTTTAGAGCTGTCGTTCTATTTAAACTTTTCGCTTGAGATTATTTTTTTATTTTTAACAATAAAATTTTAAATATAAAAAATAATTGAAATCAAGGAGATCTAAAACTATCGCAAAATCTGGAAAATTGGATGGTCTAGATAATGTATTGTAAGACATTATTTTTGGGACTTAAAATTTTCTTTTTCATATTTAATTATTGATGTCGAGATGAATAATTAGAGGGTTTTTCGAAATCGAAACAACCTTTTTTTCGATGGTTTTTTGAGGTGCATTTTAATTATACCTTTTATCAACGGTATAAAAACTTTTTCGAACCATGAGTAGTGTATGTTTGTGTCTGTATTTTTGCCCTTACAAGTATTATAGTTTTTTCACTAAAGATAGTCTACCCTCTTGAGAGTATACTGTTCTTTTACTTGTTTGGGTAAATTCCACTTAGGATTAATGTTAGGAGCCTAAATTTTGGTGATATAACTTATTTAATACATAGATTAACCTCAAAATATTTTTCCCCCTAATTGGACCCTTTAAGCACTTGAAAAAAATGATGTATCAAGATTGCATAGAAACGATCCAATTTTTAGAAGGTGCGATCTAAGTCTTAGGAGATTCAAATTTCAAAATTTTCTTTTAAGAATAATATACAATGATTTTTAGGTGGTTTCCAAAATTTCAGATTGAAAAATCTTATTAAGTAAGTCTTTTGACGGAGGGAGTCGAAATAAACTATATTCCCAGTGGAGGCGCTCATATTTTTTCACTCATGAGGTTTGCTTTCACCACAAATGTTGTGATACTTGTTTATGTGGTAATCCCGGTTTAGATGGATTGTTTTGGGTTCATCTGACGACTACCAAAAATATGGGGTGTGGTAGCCTTGGCCAATGGAAGAAGTGGCCGTTGTGCAACTTGAATGACACATGGAAAATAAAACAAAAACTTTTGAAACATTTATCACAAGATAAATAAATCATTCAAGAGTTTCACAGGACAATATCTACTTTTGGCATGGACAAGTGTAATCATTTTGAGCCCTGAAATTGAATAAATTAAAGCGCATCAAACTTTATTCAGGCCAGTTAATGATTTATTACCAATCACTCGATTTCACATCTAGCAGTCAACAATGGTGATTGCTTTTTTGTATCAAAATTAAATTGTCTTACCACAAAAAAGAAGTCTGGTTGGAGAGACTCGATTTCACATCTAACAGTCAATAATGGTGATTACTTTTTTGTATCAAAATTAAATGTCTTACCACAAAAAAGAAGTCGGTTGGAGAGAATGTAAAACTTTGTCAAAACTCTCTATGAATCTTGAGTATATATTATCTGTTTATAAGTAGACCCAAAAAGAGATGGTCAGAAATAATAGAAAAAAATATAGTGACTTATGACCTCACTAATGGTATAACCTTTGGTATAAAAAAATAACAGAAAAAACTTTGTGTAGCCAACCCTACCTAGTTGGAAAAAAACTCATGATGATAACCTCCTCTAATCAAGCCCCAATAGACCTACAAAAGGGTATTTGAGAGGAAGTGCGTGGATAGAAAATTATTAGTTGGAAAACTGAATAAAAAACAAAATAAAATTAAAAAAAAGGTGAGGGTATCAAGAAAGTTAGTGGGTGGGAAAGAAGTGGTGGACCGAAAAATCAAGAGAAGCTTTAATGTTACCTTTTGAAAACAATAAACGTTTGTACATAGGGCGTTGGGGGTAGTATTGTTGAGCTCCATATTTATGACTCCATTCTTACCAAACGATAGAGGCTCAAATCTTCATTGATTTTTTACTGTTTGAGAATTGTTTGGGGACTTAACGGTAATATTATCGAGCTTTACGGTGAGATCTCTGATTCCATTCTCTCACCAAAGGGTAGAAGCTTACCACATTTTTTTTAAAAAAAACCTACAAAAAATAAAATAAAATTTGTACACTCGATGGTTGAAAATCTTTCCACTTTTCTTTTGTGAAAAAAGAAAAGAAAGTGAAAATTTGTACACTTTTGCCTCATTTCCCTGTGATGATCATCAACATTGGCCCGTGAAATCCTCCACCATGTCTACGCTAATCGCTCTATACCACCTCATCCTAACGAAAAGGGTCATTGCTATTATTACCTTGGTAATAATCATTTGTTTCTATGGGGATATTGTCGGTGGTGAACTTGACGAGATATTATCGTATGTCTTTTTAAGCAAGAATTTATTCGAAAGTGAAAGAGATTTGTATAAAAAAGGCCGTGGTCCGCTACACAGGGTCCCACGAGGGCTGAGCTAGAAAGGGTCTTAACCTTTAAATTTTTATAGATGGAGTGACATAAAGTGGTTGCTCTTAGGATTCGAACCTGCACTCTTGCGCTTGCTATTTGAGCTTTTTACTGTCACACCAAGTGACAACTCTTAAAATAGACTTCTATATATAATATATTATTTTTATGAAAAAATATACATACAAGATGGTCACAATTATTCTTAACCATTGGATGTGAAATTAGATGGTGGCATTTATTCTATTAACTAAACTTAAACTTCAAAAGAAATTTTCTTGAACTTTGTGATATATCACCCAAGCTATTAGATTTTACATCGCATGGTTATAAGTAATTGTGACCTCCTTGTACTAAAAGTAAATATCCCTATTTTTATTAATGAATAACTTTTTATTAATATAAAATGGTTTGATAGGGTTGCAGGCCTATCAAAATATGTTAATCCTCACCTCATAACTTATCGAAAATTGTAATTTAAGCATTAGAAAACCTTTACATCAATTATCTCGACTTGAATATTATGATTGTAGAAAAAATTAGGTTTTCAAGCTCTAAAAACAAAGTATATTGTATATCTAGGCTGTCCATTTTGCTTTAAAAATAAATATTCATAGATCCAGAAGATTTGTACTATTTTTTGAGTTTCAAATTTTATTGTTGGTGTTGGAAATTATTTTGGAACCATCATAAAGATTTCTGCCTCCAAAAGTACTTTCCGGACGATGATTTGAG